GTCTGAGCTTGCCTTTCCCGAGCTACGGCATGACCAGGGTGGGCCCACACATTCGCGTTCGGGTTAGCAATGGCGTGAGGGGTGGGGGGTGCTCTCATTTTAGAAGCTGTTTCAGAATAGGAAGTCCTACCTGGGGTAGATAGGACTGCGCCAAGTAAATGTGAAGTCGAAAGTCCGGTGTTTCAAACTGACTAATTACAATGCTGGTTTTCAACCTTTTCAAGTATTTAAAGGACCCGGCTCAGCCTATCTTGGAGGCCCTGGACAAGGACAGCTCGCCAAAGGATGATGCCTGGGACTCTGTGTCCGTTGTTTCGTTTCCAGAGAAGGAGCAAGAAGATGTTCTCCAGAGTACTTTGCACCAAAGCCCTGGTCCAGTCCAGCAGCCTGTGGGATGAGGGCTCTGAGCCGACGAAGCAGCTGATGTTCGCGTCGCGACTTCACAGAGCCCAGCACTCCATATTCCCGTCCCGCCAAGGCCGCCGGTGCCTGGGAAGATGCCATGGGTCTCGTCGGGGAGACAAGTTGTTTTTTTTTTTTCTAGAGTTTTCTAATCATACGAGTTTCTAGAATGATTCTACAGAGATAGCCCAGAATAATTAAGATTTCTCTTAAACACTAAAAGGACACATAATTGTTAGCAAAATGGCTCAGGTATGCCTCTGAGGTTTTGTTCGTCAGCAGCGAGGACACCGGGTCCTCTCCTTGACTCGGGCGGGTGGGCTGCAGCCCCCGGGGCAGGTCATGTAACCTGTCCCAGGCTGTCCCAACGAGGGACATCGAGTGACCCTTCACCATAGCCAGTCTCCTGCCTTAAAATGTGATTAGTCCTGTAAATATTTTCCTGGTAATTTAAGCCTTTTTTTTTTTTTCCAAGCTAGGAATAAAAGACTTTAACTTTTTCAAAGTAAAAGTGAAGTTTCTGCTTTCCATTTCACCTTCTTTATTTTGGCCTATTTTCTGCAAAGTTTCAACTTTTTAAAAAATTACTATATCTAGGGGCGCCTGGGTGGCTCGGTCCGTTGAGCGTCTGACTTCAGCTCAGGTCATGATCTCACGGCTCAT